AAAGTGGGACGTGGGGGCTCAGGGGACCTCGAACTTACGCTGAGGAAAGGCCACCAGGGAACAACGTGTTGAAGAGGCTGGTCTCAGAGCTAAGTGGGGAGCAGGAGGAAATTGCAAGGCGTAGGGTTTGCGTTGAGGAGTCAGAGGCTGTCAGCTTCTGGCAAGGGATGACCGGTACGAAGAGCATTAGGCGACTGGGAGTGTAAAGGCGTGGGGGCTCAGGGGACCTCGAACTTACGCTGAGGAAAGGCCACCAGGGAACAACGTGTTGAAGAGGCTGGTCTCAGAGCTAAGTGGGGAGCAGGAGGAAATTGCAAGGCGTAGGGTTTGCGTTGAGGAGTCAGAGGCTGTCAGCTTCTGGCAAGGGATGACCGGTACGAAGAGCATTAGGCGACTGGGAGTGTAAAGGTGACAGGGTGTAAAGGTTTTGCAGGAAGCAAAGGTAGCTGGTGTGGTTTGGGTAAAGTGGGGAGCAAACTGGTACGGAATTGGGGGGAGGGTTGTTTACTATAAGTCATCAAATGGTGTAGAAAGCTATAAAAAGAAACAGCACTGCAATAAAGAGGGTACTATGACCATGGAGTCTGAAGAGGGACACGCTGAAGTTCATTCTGCTAATGAAGCAGATGAAGTGATGGAGCAAGAGAACCCGGCAGATGAGCTTATTAAGGAGTCATCAGGATTAAAATCAGAGACAGCAGGAGAGTTGGTGGGACCAGATCAGGGCCCCATGAGGGAGGAAAACCTGGTATTAGGAGTGGATGAGGAGCCGTCTGAGGAGGTGGAAGAACCAGGAGAAGAGTTGGAAAGTCTTGTAGAAGTAAATGGTAGTGGAGAAGAAGGTGATGTTGAGTTGGGAGCACCTGATCAGCCTGAAACAATTGTACTTATGAGCCCAGATGAGATGAAAAGTGAAGGGGAGGCTGGAGAAGAAATAGATCAGTGGCATGTAAGTGTACATAAGGAGGAAATGTTGGTTGGAGAAGGCAGCTCAGAGAAAGAGAATGATGCAGAAGAAGAGAGTGGGAAGAAAAATGAACAGAATTTAATTGGAGTGGAGGAAGAGGAGAGAAGTGATTGGCAGGATGCAACAGTGGAAGTTGAAGAAGTGCCAGGATCAGACCACATGAAGGGAGAAACTGATAAGGAAATTGCTGCATCAGTAAAGTATCAAGAAGTGGCTGTGAAGTTGTCAGGATTGGAACAAGAGGAGGACATGGAGGAAATTGGAAAGGAAGAGGGTGAGGAGGTGCTAGGTGCAGATGAGAGAGAGTTAGAGAAAGATGCTTTAGAAGGAGTTGCAGCAGAAGGTCAGGCAGAGGCTGATGAATTGGTGGGAGTAAGGCAGACAGAAGTGCATGTATTGACTGAAGATGAAGTTGGGAAAGCAGACTTGGGTCACACCGAGGAAGTTGTGATTGAGTCCAGTGAGAAGATGGTGCTTACAAAGGAAAGTATGGCAGCTGGAGTGGATCGGGGTGAAAAGGTATCTGAAGCATATGAGAGGGAGATAGAATCCATGCCTACAGAGGGAGATGCAGCAGGAGCATATTGGGAGGAGACTGAGGGCTTGATAGAGGCAGGCCAAAGAGAGATAGTGCAGATGTCTGGAAAAGAAGATGTGGCACCATTTGTTGATCAGGCCAAAGCCTTGGAAAATCATGAAGGTCTGAGGGAGACAGAGGGCCAAGCGTCACCAACAATAGGTCAGAGAGATAGTGAAGTTTTGGTGGGGGCAATTCAGAGAGAAGTTGGGCAGGTGACAACAAATGATGTACCAGCAGTGGGTCAGGGGCAGGGGTTCTCAGAAGATCTGATAAAAACACAGAGGGTGATTGGAGAGAGCGATCCAGCAGTGGCTGAGGTGACTGTAGATTTAGCTAGGGCAAGTAAGGCACAGATTAATGAGGAAAAGGAAACTCCTAAAGAAGGTGTGATTTCCACACCGGATCAGATGGAAACTCACAAGGCAAGAGGAACAGATCATAGAGAAGCTTACAGAGATGCAGTGGATCAGGGAAAGATGGAGGAATTAGTTGGGACAACTGAAGGTATGTTAGAGGAGGTTGTGGCATCAATAGTGGATACAGCCTTAGCTTTGGTTGAGGAGGAAGTAATAACTTCAGTAGAGAAAGGTGAGGTAGTGACTGGAGAAGTGGATATGGTGCTAACAGGGATTAATGGGGAAGTAAAGGAGATAACTTCCAGGGGGCAGGTAACATTGGCAGCAGATCAGGAAGCAGCACCAGAGACAGGACCACCACCAGAGAGAGTAGCTGGAACACAAGAAGATGCTCCCAGGAGAGGTGTGGCGGAAATACCTGTACAGAATCAGGATGAGGTAGATAAAGAGGAAATGAAATCCAAAATGAGTCAGGAGAAGGTTGAAGAGTTAACAGGTCCAGAAGAGGTGGTGGTGAAAGACCAGCCAGGAGGCAAGCAGTTGGGATCAGCTGACAGGTTTCCTGGGGAGGTGACTAGAGAGGGAAAGGTGGCAGCTACTGAGGATCAGCAAAGTGCCGAGGCATTCACAGTACTGTTTCAGGACCAGACAGTAGAAGCTACTGATGTGCCTGAAAAACGATTGAGTCAGTATCAGCAAGATGTTGGGAAGGAAAAGATGCCCTCTCAGGAAAAGGCGTTAGCTTGGAGTTTGGAGCTGGATGATAAATTAGCAGGATCAAGTCTAAGAATGGCAGGAGAACAGGGTCGATCAAGGTCCTTAGTGGAGTCATCACATTTTGCAGAACACAGAACTGGGGGTGATCAAGAGCAACCCTGCAGAGGGAAGGGGAAGAGAATTAGGGGCTTGGCAGGATTGCGGCAAGGCCCAATCCCGAAGGTAGCTCGTGGGGGAACTCAGTCAGCAGGAGGCATCGGTGGGGTGCTGGAACATGTGGCTCCGGGTTTGATTGTGACCAGTTTAACAGCACAGGCTGAACAAAAGGGGTTAATGAAACAGGATCATAAACAGCTGTCAAGGGGGATGTTAGAGTGCAGAGAGACTAGATCAGCTGAGCCAGGGATTCATGGGACAAGGGTCAAGATGGGTGAAGGAGTGGTCCTGATGGGTTATCGAATTGGACGGGAAGGCATGTCATGTTTCTCAGAGGCAGACAACAGGATACCATCATTCCAGCAAGGGCCTGGGCTAGAGGCAGCAACATTTCAGCAGGCAGGAGAGACTAGTGAGACAGGAAAGAGGTCTGATCAGGAGGAGATAGAATTAGCCATGCAGGAAGAAGAACTTAAGGAACAGAAACCACTGGGAAATGAGGTCACTGGCATAGAAGGACAATGTCTAGAGGAGCTGCAGTTTGCATGGCTTGGAAGGCCGCTGTCACGAGGTTATACAGCCTCCCGACCAACTTCTGGCTGGACTGCAGGACTTGGGCCAGGACATGGACTTGCTTTGGGATCACTGCGGGCAGGAATAAAAGAGCGCATTGATATGATGGTAGTAGGCCATGGAGTAACAAAGTCAGCTGGACAGAGTCCTGAGCCACCAAATCTTGGGATGGGAAAAAGAATGTTTGGGCTTGCTGGCAAGTCAGAGAATGTGCACTGGCTGCAGGAGGTGTTGGGATCAAGCAGGAAGGCATCTCCGCTCTCTGTAGCCGGTCATAGCCCAGGCTCAAAAGAAGGAACTCCTGACTTGACTGCAGAGCGGCAGAGTCCTGGGCTGGTAACAGGGAAGCGGGAATTAAAAGACTGGCGTGATGGAGTGATGGGCATTGCAATTAAAAGATACAATGCAATGAGGCGAGCAATGTGGGGTGAAGGTCCAGTTGGCTTACATGTGAAAGGGGTGAAGGTGACAGGGAGTTCAGATTACATCCCAGCTAGTAGCTTCCATGCTGGCTCCATTCTGGAACAAGTTGAACGAAAAGTGTGGAGGTTGGGGCAGCATGTAGCCGCTGAGAATATGCCAGAATTGGAAGTGGATGGACAGCGGATAACTGATCGATTGAAACAGAATATGCAGTTAGCAGGGGCAGAACAGGGCCATAGAGTCTCAAGGTAACTGGGTTTAACATGAGATAAGCAGATAAAAGTGGGTTTGACGATTGTAGGTTGTTTAAAAGTTAAAGACAAGTTGACTTTACAGTAGCGCAGTATAGAATAGGAGAAATGATAAAAGCTTCATTGCAAAATCTCAGCTTGCAAAATTTAGTAGATTTGTAGAGATCTCTGGAAAGAAAATAGAGCAAGAAAGCAGAGCGACTCTAGGACCATGATATGAAGGGTGACGAGACGACTTTTGGCGCTTGAATGCAAAGGTGGGTACATAGGGAAGTGAAAACATCAAGTGAAACAAGTGGGGACAAAGTACTGGATATGTGGACTTGTGTTTCCCTGGGCCTGATCGCAGTGAGTAAAATGGTCAGGTAGGTTGGCCACTGAGAATCCTTCAAGGGCTGGTGTTTTTGAGGAACGTGTCCTCGTGCCCGTAAACAGCACCCCAAACAGGTTCCTGCCTCTTTTCATAGGCTTGGATTTGGTAGCTGGTGCTTACACTAAAACTCTCTGCTGCAACCCACGGTCAGGCTGCTCTCATGCTGGCTGTGTTACATCCATGGAGAGACAGGCTTGAGTCCACCCTTCAGCAAAGCTGTTGGGGATCCAAGGATAGGATGTACACATTTGAAAGATTCCCGCCACAAATTCAGATATTTGCACAGGTATTTCCTCTGTCCTGGTCTGACATTCCCATATTCTTTCAGGAATAATCTTCCCCAGGAAAGCGAAACCCTGGAAGAGCAGTCTGGAAAACAAGAGGAGTTCTCAACTCACACAGGTACAGGAGGCAATGAATGCCATTTCAGGATTAGCAAATATATGAAATGTGCCCAGAAATAGAGACACTGTCAATAGAACATCATGTCAGTAGTAACACATTTGTTTTTTGTAAGGGTAATAGATTCCAAAAGCTATCCAGTTCAGCACAACAGACTAAAGCTACTCTTCCTCTGAAAATGAATTGTAATCAAAGTGTCATAAAGACCAGTCTAAAAATTAACAAAGAGAGGAAGTGGAATGGAGATCTTGGGGAGGGAATTCCATTCAGTAAGATGCTGCCACTGAAAAGACCTTCCCCTTAATCCTGACTACTCTAGTGAGGCATCTGGATAGGGTTGTAGCTGGTATACCAGCTTTAGCTGATAAAAAGCACTCCCGGCTATTGCAGCCATCTGTACTTCCATATTCAGTCATGAATCCATAAGGACCTCCAGACTTACCCAAAAACCTGTTGAATAGTTCTGTTTAAGTCTTATGTGTTCAACGGTACTGCTATCATAGGCAGAGAGCACTTTTGTTGTGATGTGAGTTTCTTTAAAGAGAAAGAAAGAGAAAAATGGTTTATCCTGAGCCTTGCCAGTTTTTGGGGTCTCTTTAGTGTCATTCTATTCTCACGATGACCAGTCCCATTGATTTTTTTTAGCTTACTCTGAGACGGGCAGTCCCGAGCGCAGGCTGGGCTGCCAAGGAACCCAGGAGCTGGACGGCTCGTCCCAGTGGCTGGCTGACCAGAATGAGGCCGCTTCCCAGCATGCACTGGAGGAGGACGCCAGCACTACAACCACAACTGAAGCTTTTGGGACGAGAGGCAAAGAGCAAGAGAGAATTAAAATGCAGAGCAGTCCTCACAGACAACATCACGCACTGCATACACAGGTAGGGTTCAAGACAGGAGAGTTCCAGAGTGAGTGCCCTTCTGCCTTCTACCCTTTTACTGGTTGTAACTTTGCAGAAAATGAATTGTTTGGCAAGGGCTGTCAGGATGGATTTTTAGTGGTTTGATGAGATACGTGGCATGCTCTGTTTCTCTGATGCCCTACTACGACATTTTCTTTGAACGGTTATATTCCTTCCTAGGATGGCAAATTCTTAACTAACCTGCTCTTTTCTGTCTTTACTCTCCTGTCATTCCCCAGACTACGGCAGACAGAATGACAGGCAGCAACCCAGTGTCGCCAGCCTCTTCAGGCTCACCTGCCTCAAGTGGCAGCATCTCCCCGCCACATCTCACCCACGACTCCTCTCTGGACAGTCATCTTAGCTTTGATGTTCCCAAGTTACAGAACAGAGCCCTTATATCGCCTGGGATGTATACCTCTCCTGACCCAGTGAGCATGTGGGACAAGACACATGCAGAGATTGCTGAGCAGGCCAAACACGTAAGCCATGTTGTTATCTGGAATGTTTCCTTCCATTAACTAAACAAATAGGCTAGACATTGTCTGGTTCTAGGCCATATTGCAAAGGATAGGAATGAAGTATCTGATGCTGGCTTTGTATTTCAGGAGGCAGAGATTGAGAATCGAATTGCAGAAATGAAGAAGGAAGGATTCTGGTCCCTAAAAAGGCTGTCAAAGGTGCCTGAGCCAGTTCGGCCCAAAGTACACTGGGATTATCTCTGTGAGGAGATGCAGTGGCTGTCGGCTGACTTTGCCCAGGAGCGACGATGGAAGAGGGGCGTAGCAAGGAAGGTGAGTTTTGTCAGCTTGGTGGATATCCATCTTGAAGCCATATTTTGCCATCTCTGAACTTTTTATAAGCAAATGCCATTGCTTGGAACTATTCTTTAATTGTCCTCTGGCTTTTGCTGGTTTTAAAGCCACTTTGTTAGTTTGTAGCATCCAAGGTTTTTAGGTACAGTATTATTCTCCAGTGACAACATAATGTATTTCCCTAAAAATTCCATCCAAAAAGGTTTCTCTGAGGTGCAACTAGCTTTCTTTAGAATCCAGATTAAGGAAAAATTTATTGAGTTGTAGGGGAGGGCTTTCATGACATTTCACTTCCATGACATTTCACCTATACTTGAACCTACAAACAAGTTTAAACATGTTTATGAGTAATCTGGCCTTTCTCACCAGGTTACTTATAAACATGTCCAAACCCACTTATAAGTTCAAACATAGGCTGCTGAAAAAAATGACGCCATAGAAATCCTCCTTTATAATCAATGTGTCTTATTGTTGTTATTGCATCCAGGTTGTGCGTATGGTGATCAGGCACCACGAAGAGCAGAAGCAGAAAGAAGAACGAGCCAAACGGGAAGAGCAGGCCAAGCTACGTCGCATTGCATCATCCATCGCCAAAGAGGTCAAGCAATTTTGGAGCAACGTTGAGAAGGTACGTATGCAGGATCTTGTGCTACATTAAATGACATTCAAGCCTTGCTAGTCTGTATGGGTGTTAGTCTCCAGCTGGTTCTGTCCTTTTGAATCAGCAATACAATGTGAGCTTTGCGTCAGATGTCTGTCTGTGTATACTTGAAGGATTTACTTTAACTGAATCTCAGCCCTTACCGCATTTGAGTTCATACCAAAAATTGTGCAAATGAGTAATCTGGCCTTTCTCACCAGGTTACTTATAAACATGTCCAAACCCACTTATAAGTTCAAACATAGGCTGCTGAAAAAAATGACGCCATAGAAATCCTCCTTTATAATCAATGTGTCTTATTGTTGTTATTGCATCCAGGTTGTGCGTATGGTGATCAGGCACCACGAAGAGCAGAAGCAGAAAGAAGAACGAGCCAAACGGGAAGAGCAGGCCAAGCTACGTCGCATTGCATCATCCATCGCCAAAGAGGTCAAGCAATTTTGGAGCAACGTTGAGAAGGTACGTATGCAGGATCTTGTGCTACATTAAATGACATTCAAGCCTTGCTAGTCTGTATGGGTGTTAGTCTCCAGCTGGTTCTGTCCTTTTGAATCAGCAATACAATGTGAGCTTTGCGTCAGATGTCTGTCTGTGTATACTTGAAGGATTTACTTTAACTGAATCTCAGCCCTTACCGCATTTGAGTTCATACCAAAAATTGTGCAACTTGTGATATTTCCTGCTTTACATAGTCTTCTGCAGCAGTCCAAAGTAACTCAGATTTCCCCCATCAGGTAACATTTTTAGTATGAAATTGGATCCACTCTTTTGAATAAATCATTGAGAGGTCTGTGACCCTCTTATCTCATTAGCCAAGTACTTTTTAGCAGCCTAGCAAGGTTAAGCCAATTTCTCATTTTTGTGAGTTGCTAAAAAGGCAGTACATGCATAGGGAAAATTGCTTCTTAAGATTTCAAAGACTGGGAGATTTTGAATGGTTTTAGCTTCTCTTTATAGGTCAAGAGCAGGTTCCAGAACTATCAGATCCTGTAGGCTTATGAGCTTTTAAACTTCTGTCCTTCATCTTCTGACTTCAGGTTGTGCAGTTCAAGCAGCAGTCACGGCTGGAGGAGAAGCGGAAAAAAGCCCTGGACCTGCAGCTGGATTTTATAGTAGGCCAGACAGAGAAGTACTCAGACCTGCTGACCCAGAGCCTCAACGAGAGCCTCCCAGTTCCTAGCAAGACTGGCAGCTCCCACGCTGATTCTACTGCTTCTAGCCCACCACCACCCACTCAGCTCATTGAGGATGAAGGTTAGACCCATCGATGGTTCAGTTCTGTGTTGTGAAGCTGCCAATTGTGACATGCCCATGTATCCTGTCACCTTCTCTCCAGACTGCTTCCATGTCCATTCCCTGTTCTTGCCCCACCAACCTTAGAGCTGAATGATAATCATGCTTCTTTTAAGTAAAGATTTGTCTCATAATGTGGGTTGCCTCTCGTCCCTCCTTCTCTGACAGATGGGGATTTCCAACCCCATGAGGAGTCAGATGATGAGGAGACCATTGAAGTGGAAGAGCAGCAAGAAGGGAATGATTCGGAGTCTCAGCAACGGGAGATTGAGCTGCTAAAGCAGGAGAGCGAGCTGCCCCTAGAGGAGCTGCTGCAGTCACTGCCACCTCAAATCTTAGAGAACTCCTGCAGTGTGTCACCTTGTGCTTCCAGCTCTGACAATGATGAGGAGGAAGAGGAGGAAGAGGAAAGTGATAGTGAAGAGGAGGAAGAGGAGGAGGGGGAGAGACGAACCACCAAGAACTTAAAGGTGTGTTGCTGGTTTGCAGGTACATCTTGGAATTGGAAGTATATTCAAACTCTTGACTAAGGAAATTCACTGTCAGAGGGTTCTGGAGTGAATATTTGGCAGAAAGAGACCACATCAGCTTTTTAAAAAAATTGACAATCCTTAAGGATAACGAGAGAATAATAAATACGGCAACCTTTTCTTAACTGCCTTCTGCAGCTGGACCCTCCCTGATGGGAATTCCTTGTCTGATTCAGTACCCCTTTTCATTATGGTCCTCAGTTTGTGATGTGCTTATGTAGTGCTAAAAGCTTCCCCCCTTGGGTCTGTCTCCTGAAATACCTTTCTGTCCTATGCTCAGCAGGATAAACCAAAGCCTGTTACTCAGAGAAATAAAAAACCATGGAAGCCTGATGAGGAAGATGCAGAGTTCACTGCTAATGAAGAGGAAGGTGAGCAGATTCTTGGGGTGCCTGACCAAACGCGATGAAAACTGAAACAGTGGCTTTGGGGTTCTGTGTAGTAACATCAAGTAACTCTTATTATTCTAGCTGAAGATGAAGAAGAAACTATAGATGCTGAAGAAAAGCTGGAAGGGGATGTTGATCACAGCAAGGAGCTGGATGACCTGGCAAAGGAAGGTTCGGAGGACGCTTGTGGCATGGGAGATAAAGAGGGTCAGAGTGTACACTTCATGTGCCCTGAAGACCAGTTGCACTATGATTGAATTGTGTTTCTGAACTTTAAGTGTGTCTACCCTCATTCCCAGAAAGTCCGCTCTTAAAAGAGTGGGCAGCTGACCCAGTTCAGCTCTGTATTTCTTGGAGTATCCAACAAAAGTATATTCAGTAGCCCTGGAGTCTACAAGCAGTCTTAGTAGACTGATTTTTCTTGTTGGTGATATTGTGTGACCCAGTTGTGTACAAACCCCTTTTATTTTTGCCTCTTCCCAAAACCATGGGAGGAGAGTGCAGGCTTGCAGACGAGCCCTACGAACAAACTAGATTAAACAGATGGGGAAGATAATGTGGCCTTGGAAAAGACAAGGAAGTACTTGAACCACAATTCTGGCCATGTTCTGCTTGGCTCTCGCTGCCGGGACATTGCTGCACTGAATGCATTATGAAAGGATAGGACTGCTCTGGCAATGACCAGATTATGATCAGACCTGAGAGACCAGGGCTTCTCAGAATCCCTGGACTTAATGTCATAGTTTTCTTTTCCTCTGACAGGGGAGTTGCCTATGGAGGAGTTGCTGCAAAAATATGCTGGTGCCTATGCCTCAGATTTCGAAATGGAGGAGTCGGACACATCCGAAGCCTCAGAGGCCAGCACTTCAGAGTACGAGGTGGAGTCAGAGGAGGATGACAGCAGTAGCCACTCAGGTATGAAGAGAAGAAAGCTGGAAAATATTGCTATTTTCTGATAAGATGAATGAATTAACCAAGCCTTTGTTTTCATTTATTACAACCCTTGTTCAGCCATTTAAAAAAAGGTACACAACAAACAGAGAAACAAGCAACAGTGTTCTCAAACAAAGTATATTACATGCAAGAGCAGTTTTAAATGCATATTGCAATTGTTATATGGTTTATCAGCATGGTTGTTTTTTTACTGTGCTTGCTACTGCACAAAATTTTGGTTGTAACTTTAATTGAAGAAACAAAGAATGAGGTAGACATAATATTAACTAGATCTGTCCGGGATTTATTTTTTTAGAAAAGGGGAAATGCATGTACAGTGGTGTACGGTTACCTCAGTTCCATTCTTTCCGCTGCGGAAAGAGGTCTCTTCTTTGGAGTTCTCGTTTCTGTTAATTGGATCATCTAGAAATACAAGAGAATAGATCACTTTCGTCTAATCCTTCATATACTTCTAATCGTGTCTTTGACTCTTGCTGCAAATTTTACTTTGCTCATCTCTGTCTTTTATTGTATTGCTGTTCTTGTTGTATTATTATTTATCACATTTTAACAGACTATACACTGTCCAGAGAATTCTGGCTAGTGGTTAGTCCAAAGTTAAAATAAATTGACAGATTTCTCATATAATGGCTGAAATCCTGTTGCTTAGTGTAGTAAATTGTGCTAGGGTAGGCATGCTGAATCAGTGGGGTATCTGGTGAGTCAACTCCTCCATAAGTGCCATTGATTCAAGTAGGTGTACTCTAACTGTGACTTACTTCTACACCACAGTAAGTCACAACTACAGTAGGCCCAGTTGAACTAGTGAAACTTACATAGGAGTTGACTCACCAGATCCAGCCTGCTGTAGTACAACTTACTACACTAAGGAACAGGCATTCAGCCAAAGTGATGCACATGTTTTCCACAGTTTGTAAAGCATAGATATTTGAAGGCGGTAAAAACAAAATCACTCAGCACTTAGGCAAGGTCTGGCATGCCAGATGATGGTGGGATCTGCTGACTTTTTTTTTTGTCCTGATAACTGCTTCCTTTCCTTCTAGATGCCACAGACGAGGTGGAGAGTGAACAGGACGAAAGTGAAGAGGAAGATGCCCTTGGGGAGGAAGAAACTTCAGTGAGCCAGAAAGAAGATTTTGGTGTTGAGTACCTTCTGAAGCAGGATGAGGATTGTGGCGGTGAGGGAGACAATGACTCAGCTCCAGCCCCAGGGCCCAAGAAGGAGATTACAGACATTGCAGCGGCAGCAGAGAGCTTGCAACCCAAAGGGTATACCTTGGCGACGACACAGGTGAATCTAGGTGGAAGGAAGCCAGCAGCGTTGGTTCGAAGTAAAAGGAGGCAGCCAAAGGATTATTGCTCTTTTTTTTTCCCCATGTAGGTTAAGACGCCCATTCCTTACTTGCTGCGTGGGACGCTGCGAGAATACCAGCACATTGGTCTGGACTGGTTGGTCACCATGTATGAGAAGAAACTCAATGGTATTTTGGCTGATGAAATGGGTCTCGGCAAAACCATCCAGACGATTTCCCTGCTGGCTCACTTGGCCTGTGAAAAGGGTGGGTGAGAGAGACTTTGAGAAGAGCCTGGTTTATGGTGGTGAGATACTGAAATTATAAGGAGAAAGGAGGGGACAGGTTGGCTTCATGCAAGAGGAGCGAAGCAGTTGATAGTGTATGGAAGCCTGTCAGATGCCATTTGGTGCCCTTGGGACTGCTAACATGTGCTCACTCCCTTGCAGTGGAGCTTTAGAATTATTTTGAAAGTGAATGTGGAGGGCAGGCTCTGGAGTACAACACAGTTTGTAGCTGTACCTCAAGGCGTAAAGGTAGCTTTTCAAAGGCAGATAAAATGTTCTTTGCATGTGGTCCTGCAGGCAGTTGGGGACCCCACCTGATCATCGTTCCCACCAGCGTGATGCTGAACTGGGAGATGGAGATCAAACGTTGGTGCCCCAGTTTCAAGATCCTCACATATTATGGGGCACAGAAGGAGCGTAAGCTGAAGCGGCAGGTGAGGTGATTCAAAGCCTTGCAGCTGGGGATAAAAATTTGGCTTTTTGTCTCATGATGTAAATCATTTAATTTATCCAGTTATATAGAAGAGGGCTGCTGTGGGACTGGAAGAAACGAAGCTAGCTATAGTTCCCCCCCCCCGGGGATTCTGAGTCTTCCTAGATTGTGGATATTTTCATTTAAAAATGATTTAACTGTTCAGTGGTCTGATTCTGAAAGGCTGCAGAGTATAGGAAGTAATAAATTAGGCCATGTTGCTATGCTGACTAGCGGGTATGGATCTACTGCAAGTTTTGCCAGCTCTTAATTATGTCAATGAAGAATATTATGTGTTAGCGTAGATTGGAATCTATTTGTCGACTTCTAATAGATAACCAAGGGTATTTAGTTCAGCATTAACAAAAGATGATTTTTCTGACTTAGGCTGGTGATATGAAGAAAGTATGCAATAAACTAGGGAAAGATTTTAGTGAAAGTATAGTAAACTCAGCTAACCTCAGTACTGGTCCTGGTACTCAAAATAAATGTCTAGATTCAGAATTTGTCCAGAAACATTTATTTTTAGGGTTTGTTTGTTTGTTTATTTATTTTTGGTAACTGACTTTGTGATTGGAGGATCCTGGGATTGTAGGTTAAAAAAAGACAAGTGAAATCTTCTCACTCCTAGAGAACATACAACAATCTTTGTGGATGATTTTAATACTGTAGTTTATTTATATTAGGTGGTATGGAGAGTGGTAACCCGATATGTATAATTACAAAGCACTTCTGAAAATGGCCAGAGTATGTACTATAGTCAGTGCATGAATCCGGGATTTAGTGGTAATCTGAAGCTTTCCTTGCCAGCCACACTGTAATCACCACATGCTCTGTGTTTAGGGTTGGACTAAGCCCAATGCCTTCCATATCTGCATCACCTCATACAAATTGGTGCTGCAGGACCACCAAGCCTTTCGACGCAAAAATTGGAAGTATCTGATTTTGGACGAGGCCCAGAACATCAAGAACTTCAAATCCCAACGCTGGCAGTCTTTGCTCAACTTCAACAGGTGGGAAAACATTCCTCTCAGGATGGAAGAGGAACATGCTACTCTTCGATGCTTCTCACATTTACACTCTTGCTGTGTTTGTCTTTCAGCCAGAGGCGGTTGCTGCTGACTGGGACGCCTCTCCAGAACAGCCTGATGGAGCTGTGGTCCCTCATGCACTTCCTGATGCCCCATGTCTTCCAGTCACATCGTGAGTTCAAAGAGTGGTTTTCCAATCCGCTGACCGGCATGATTGAGGGCAGCCAGGAATACAACGAGAACCTGGTCAAGAGGCTGCATAAGGTGAGCAGGGTGGGAGACGAAAGCCTTGCAATGGTACTGGGGGGTGTCTCACATGATGAGGAAAATATTTGAAATTCAATCCATCCCGGCTGTCTTGCCAACAGGTGCTGCGGCCCTTCCTTCTACGGAGAGTGAAAGTGGATGTAGAGAAGCAAATGCCAAAGAAATATGAGCACGTCATCAAGTGCCGGCTCTCCAAGCGCCAGCGTTATCTCTACGATGACTTCATGGCCCAAGCTACGTAAGTCTAGGAGTGTGCTGGGAACCAAGCTCTTTTGTGAGGAAGGCTTGGGTTAGGGTTAGGGTTTGGCAAATAATAGTGGGCAGGAAATCTGCAGAAAGGCAGTGGTGCTTCCTGGATCTTAGAATTCACTCTCTGGAGTCAGGAGTGGTTCCTCAGATCGCTTGGCAGGTCTGGGCCGCCCAGCTGACACTGTTGTGGCCGATTCCCCTTTTCAGCACGAAGGAGACCTTGGCCACAGGGCACTTCATGAGTGTCATCAACATCCTGATGCAGCTCCGCAAGGTCTGCAACCATCCGAACCTCTTCGACCCGCGGCCGATCCATTCGCCGTTTATCACAGAGGGCGTCTGCTTCAACACAGCTTCACTTGTCCTCCAGGTCTTGGATGATGACCCTTTCAAGGCAGGTGCACTCCCTTTCTGTCTTGATGGGAGAAGGGGATCGCTCTTCCATGGGGCAGGCATCTGTAGAGTCATTAGACATTGTATTTGGGTTGCTTCTCATTTCCTGTGTGTGTGTACCTTTATTTCTTCCAGCAGGTGGACTTGGGCATTTTTGACTTGATCAATTTGGAGGGGCGTGTGTCCCGTTATGAGACAGACACGTTCCTTCCAAAGTGGAAGGTGACAAGAAAACTGATTGAGGAAATTGCTGAGTCCCCAGACCCTCCTCCGAGACCCAAGCCGGTCAAGATGAAAGTGAACAGGTACCTAGAAAGTGGGCACTACCAATATTTATGTATTCTCGAAGGCTTTCACAGCCAGGATCTGATGGTGTAGGTTTTTTGGGCTGTTTGGCCATGTTCTTAAGGTTTTTCTTCCTAACATTTTGCCAGTCTCTGTGGCTGGGCTCTTCAGAGGACAGGAGTCAGAACTCTATTGACCAAAGCATAGACAGAGTTCTGACTCCTGTCCTCTGAAGAGGCGGGCCACAGAGACTGGCGAACCGTTAGGGGGAAAAAATCTTCAGAACACAGCCTGAAAAACCTACAACAACCATCAGTACCACTTTTATTTGGCAGATAATGTGGGTATTTGAATGTGCTTTGCCATTATTGAAAGGTGGTGCCAAGCTTTAGACGTGTAATCTGTGGAAGATTAAAAATTCTGTGCCCTGAAAAAGAGTGTCATCGGACAATGCTTGCCGGTTTCTGCTGTATTTATGCATTCAGGTGTTGTCTGATAAACTCTCAGAACATTTCAGAGGTCCTGTCTTGGATGATTCTAGAGCAAAGGTGATTCAATATATCTTGAAATCTAACTGGTTCTGTACTGTGGAGAATTGAGCTCTTAGAGGGCGAAGGGGGTGTGTGGTGTCCTAGCGCTGAATCGGCCTGTTCTCCCATTTTGTCCCCTTTAGGATGCTGCAGCCTATGCCCAAGCCGGAGAATCGTACCGTTGTGCTAGTGAACAGCCCTCGTCCCACGGCCCCACTGCAGAGGCCCATGACGCCTGTGCTGCCAGAGCCCTTGGCACCTGCTCTAGCTCCCATCCAGCATCCGGGACCAGTCATGCCAGGCCCTGTACCGACACCTCCACTTCCTGTCTCAGTCTCTCTCCCTTTGCCGATCCCTATGACCCCCTCGCCGGTTCCCATGTCGATACCAGTGCCTCCTGCAACCAGACCACAAACACAAACTCTAGTGCCTACTTTGAGCCAGAACAGTACACCTGCCACCCTGCTTCATGGCCAGGCCTCAGCTCCACAGGGTAAGGTTCAGGGATCATAGCTGTGGAGAAATTGGAGTGGGGTGGGGAGAAGGACAGGCAATTATTCACTCTGATAGTTGAGCCCAGATTTGTTTATTCTTCTCTGCAGAGATGTAGTGAGACTTCTCATCATCTAAAATTCAGGTCTTAAGTTTAGGTGTAACACAGGAGTGTCAGATTTGTTCTTTGTTGCCTTCTTTCCTTTAATTTCCGTTTCATAAACTTGTGGTCCTTATAGTTGCAAGGGCAAATGTGCTTCTCAACTGTGGCCAAGCTGCTTTAACTGTGATTATCTAATAGGGGGCCAATAGAGTACTGGTGGAAGTGGTTAGGTAAGACAGGGATGCGGTGAAGAAAGGTTTTTCCTCTGGGAACAAGATGATTCCTTTTTGTGAGGAGAAGGCTAGACTGGGAAGCCCTTCTGGTTTCTAACAATCTCCTCTTTTCCTTTCCCACAGTGCTGCCCATGACCGCAGCTCAGCTGGTTCCAACTGCTCCCCGACCTCTCCTCCCACCAACTCCAATTGCTTCCACAACCACCACATCTTCTCTCAAGCCCATGCTAGCCCCAGTGGGGCAGCCACAACCTGTCAGCACCTTGGGCATGCCTCCTGTGGTGCAGCAGCAGCAGCAGCATCAACAACCTATCAGTACCTTGGGCATCACCCCTCTGGGAGTGCAGCCACCCATCAGCACCCTGGGCATATCCCCTGTGGGGCAGCAACAGACTGCTAACACCTTGGGGGTACCCCCTGTGGGGCAGCAGCAGCCGCCGCCTCTTACAAACACTTTGGGGCCAGTCCCTGCAGCTCAGCAGCCCGGCAGCGCCATCGGCACAGGCACCGTTGGAGGCATGATGAAGCCTATGAATATCCATTCTGCTGTTCCTACTTTGCCTGGCTACAACTTCACCACAACCACCGGAACTGTGCAGCAAAGGCTCCTGTTGTCTCCGGATATGCAGGCACGCTTGCCCTGTGAGTACTGAGAGGCTGGCCTAGGAAGGTGATGGGACAGGAGAGTTGTCTCCCATGTCTAACCATCTTCTCTCTTCCTCACTACAGCAGGCGAAGTGGTCAGCATTGGACAGCTTGCATCGCTGGCCAACCGGCCCCTCCAGAGCGCTCCAGGTAGCAAACCCCTCACCTTCCAGATCCAGGGCAACAAACTGACCTTGACGGGTACACAGGTGCGCCAGGTCACGATGCCTCAGCCAGCCCGACAGCTGCCAAGTAGGTAAACCCCAGGCCCCCGCTGTCCCAGTGGCATTTCCCCTCCCCTGTGTTGCATAAGTGCCTGGCTGCACAAGTGACAGCTGCATGATGTGTGTCTTGCTGTATGCCACTGTTTGAGAGGTTAGCTGAAGGGGGGAGGGGGAGAATGTAGTGATTTAACCTAAGGTAAATATCTAAACAAGCATGGTGAAAGATGATTCTAGCTAATCTGTTCTCCAGAGTTCATACTAGAGAATATTCAGCCTCCTAAACGCTATCTGAAGTGAATTAATTGGTCATGAAATAGATAATACCTTCCCCTGTCATGGTACCTGAATCCTGTATGGAACAGGACTGAACAGTGACAGCTGCAGAGCCACAGGCAGGATAAAAACCTTACCAGATTAATGTGTGGAACTGTGATAATCCCAAATTGTTGCGGGGAGGGGGGAGGAGTAAGTACAATGGGATACAACCTCTTCCCTCTAAGCTCCTGGTGTTTCTCTGTGAATCATCCGGTGACCCGAGGGATATACAAAACGCTCGAGCCTTGCCTGACAAAGAGGGCCACTCTTTCCTTGGTGGGACCTCCGGCAGGAGGGCTTACACTTCTCCTTGAAGCATTTGCCGCCTGCTGCAGCTGAAACACTTTTTCCCTTCCTCCTTTTCCTCTAGGGAATGTAGTTCACCTGGTGTCTGCTGGGGGGCAGCACCATATCATCAGCCAGCCCGCCCAAGTGGCTTTGATCCAGGCCATGGCCCAGCAGGCTGGGCAGGCACCTATTGGTGTGCAAGCTGTGCCAGGTCACCAGGCCCCCACTATCCTGCCTGTGCCAGCGGCCAGCACAGCCGCTGCGGCTGTTGCCTCCACGGCAACCATCAGTGTCCCCATTGCTGCCACCCAAGGTCAGTAACTGTCAGGATTTCTGGCTCTTATCTCTCAAGGAGGGAGGTAATCTTGAAGATGGAGGGCCTACGTTAATAAACCTCCATCCTAGACTTCCTTCCTTCCTCTCTTCTGTATCAGATGTTACATCATCTGCTGTTGGTCATTCTCCATTCTGTTTATTTTTCCTATTGCTTTGACTTGGAGTTCTGTTACGCTGTAGTACATATGTTAGATTTTTGTAAATAGGTATGTTAAATAATGAAACTTTTTAAAAAAATGTTTATGGAGTGCTTTTCCTAAATAACCATGGCTTTAGCTTTGCCACCTTTTTAACTTCAACTGTCCGCTTCTGTCTTCTGTGCCTGGATTAGTTAACCATCAAAGAGTAATACAGTGGTGCCTCGCTTAACGAGTGCCCCGTATAACGAAAAAATCGCATAACGATGGCTTCGTTGCCATCGCTTTTGCGATCGCACACGATGCCCCCATTCTGTAAGATAGCCGCAATGTACTATCTTGTCTTCACTGCTGCCTCCGCAGTGCCCTCCTCAGCAGTGAACAGTTCCGGAGTGGTGAAGATTGTCGTTCGCCAAGCCCCTCGAGACGGACTGGTGTCCCCCTCCACTGGCCCGCAGCAGCCACCTCTGCGCCCAACCGCATCGACAACGGCCACGACTCTGCCTGGATTCACAACGGCCCTCATGGCACAGCGAGCCCCACTGCCTGTGAATCCGGTGCCACCTGTCAGGCTGCCCACGCAACCAGTGGTGCCCATGAGAGCACCCACACCAGCTCCCCTTCAGGCTCTCGTAAGACCCATGCTGCGAATGGTGCAGGCTCCGAGTCCCAGCATGGAGCAACAGCTGGGTAAGTGGGGTTTTTTGACACCCTAGCGGGCGGGCGGTTTATGTCTCTTGTGAGAGGGTTCCAGGGTTGGAAGGTGACGTTGAGTGCTTAGGAGCCAGCTTTAGTGTTTCTAAAAACTACATTAATTTTTTTTAGCAGTTTTCACTGAGATCTTTATGTTTAGCCTATTTCATCAAAATAAAAAAAAGTTTTGAGGGAGAAATCAGTCAGGTGGAGTAGGTGGCTATTGAGGAAAGCGCGTGCTAGAACATAAGTGTTAAATCTTAAATGTCTCTGGAGAATTTTGTAATCAGAACTCCAAGAGCCTTTGCTTACCTACGGCTCTTAACATTTACTGTTTTGTGTTTTTCTGTGGTTACAGCTTCTCCACCTCCGTCTGTGGCTCCATTTGCGATCACCCCAGCTGCCACAGTCTCTGCTGTTGCTGTCAGTGCCTCCCCTGCTATGCCTCCCCAAGCCACCTCCAGCCCAGTGCCGAAGGAGGAACCGGAGATCTTAATGCTGCGCTCCACAACACCGACACCACCGCCTCTCCCTTCCATTTTGGCTCCAAGGCCTCGACGGCAACCACCTCCCCCACCCCGCTCGCCCTTCTATCTGGTGAGTGGCCTCAAGTGGGGCATGCGGGAACCTTTGCTTGGGGTTGCGGAAGAGGATGGCGGCTAAGGACAGCGTAGGTAGAGCTATTAACATTTCCCCCTCTGTGGTCTGCAGGAATCACTTGAAGAGAAGCGGAAAAAGCAGAAGGAGGAGCGCCTTGACAGGCTTTTCCGCCTCAATGAGCAGCACTGCAACCTTGTGCCCATTTATGGGACTGAGGTGCTCCGCTTTTGTACCCTTTTCCCCCCTGCTCCCCCTTCTTGGAGGGAGGAGGAGGAGGGAAATGAGGAACAAGCGGGAGCAGCCCAGAAAGTAGAACCAAAGGTCTCAAGAGGAGCTGGTTATACCCACTGCTACGCAGCCCAAGTGCAGAGGGACCCCCACCACCTGGAGGCCTACTGGCAACGGGCTGAGTCCTTGGCTCAAGGTATCCTGACACCCCAGCAGCGAATTGAAGAACTGACAGACATTATAGAGAGGTAATAATGCTTTCTCTTTGTTGGAGCTTAGCCTTTTGGAATGGGGAGAGAAGAGTGGCAAAGGAAAGGAAGGGCTTTGCTTTTCCGCCCTGTTCCTGGGAGCGCTAGTTTGACTGTTCCAAAAGCCCTGGTGGGATACCTGCCTCCTTGTTCTTCACAGGGATCCTGGGTCTCCCTCGAGGTCCTTAGCCCTTCCTTCTGTTTCTGCAGGTTCATTTTCGTTATGCCTCCTGTGGAGGCGCCCGCTATCACCATGCACAGTTCTCATCCACCCCCATCACTCCTGCTCCAGCAGGCTGTCTTCAAGGAGACACTGCGACAGGAGCTTTCGCCCCATGCCAGCTGCCTGCATCGTATCATTTGCAACATGAGGACTCAGTTCCCAGACCTCCGTCTCATCCAGTATGACTGTGGTATGTATTGTGGGGTGGGGCCGTTTGAAATGAACGGGAAACCAGGTTTACCTAAGGTTTTGGTAAAGGCTCTTTAGCGATACGTGCCACATAACTGCTGCTGATTTTTTGCCTTTTCCCCAATGTCTCCCTCAAATCTTCCTTTCACCTGCAGGGAAGCTTCAGACTTTGGATATTCTGCTGCGACAGCTCAAAGCTGGAGCACACCGAGTTCTTATCTTCACTCAGATGACTCGCATGTTAGATGTGCTGGAACAGTTTCTCAATTATCATGGCCATATCTACTTGCGCCTGGATGGTAGCACCCGTGTCGAGCAACGGCAGGTAGGTGATGGTAGCCACTGCAGGATGGCAGGACACCAGGGGCTTTCTCAGGTAGCTCTTAGTTAGATTGGAAGTTTGATTCCCCATTGACAGGGGGCTGGACTCTTTCTGTAGGGTCCCTTCCACTCTGCAGTTCTAAGATGATGATGGTGAAAGTCCCTGAAATCGAGTTGTTGTTCAAATTAAAGAATAAAAGAAGACACACACAGGCTTCATGCCATTGGTCAGAAGAGTAAAGGGTGCCGTCAGATGGACAAATGAAAAACATTATAGGGATATGCAAAGAAATTCTGGGAATTTCTATTCTCTGATGCAAAAGCTTTCTGCAGAAATTGTGTAATTCTAGAGATGGCTGTTGACTTCTTGGGTTACAGACTTAAGGGAGTTGCAGTAAATGGCTATTCTGGATCCTAGTGATGATCTAACTTGGTCTTTTCTTCCTAGAGCCAGGAGGTAAAAAAGACAAGCACTTCGATTTCATAATTGCTTTCTCCTTCTGACTCACTGTTTCTTCTCTGACCCTGGCAGGCACTCATGGAGCGTTTCAATGCAGACAAGCGCATCTTCTGTTTCATCTTGTCAACTCGCAGCGGGGGTGTTGGAGTGAACTTGACAGGTGCTGATACTGTGGTGTTCTATGACAGTGACTGGAATCCCACCATGGATGCCCAAGCCCAAGATCGGTGCCACCGCATCGGGCAAACACGGGATGTTCACATCTACAGGTTAGCTGGGTTTTCTGTTCCACTGGAGCAGGATGCAAGAAGTTACTTTACGTGAAATCAGATAACTGGTCTGTCTAGCTCAGTATAGTCTGAGTTATACACTGACGAGTAGCAGCTTTCCAGGATTTTGACTGAGGTCATGCCGTGTCCTACCTGGAGATAAATAAATCAAACCCAGAAACTTTTATGTCCAATGCATGTGCTCTGAGAGGCAGTACAGCTCTTAATACTGCTTCTGGCCACACTTTGTAAGGGGGACTTGAACTGTGTTTCCAGGGTAACATAGGAGACTTTGTGCACAAACAATAACATGTAGATTGACCCTGTGATGTCCCTTTAGGTTGATTAGTGAAAGGACAGTGGAAGAAAATATTCTGAAGAAGGCCAATCAGAAGAGGATGCTGGGAGATATGGCAATTGAGGGAGGCAACTTCACTACAGCCTATTTCAAGCAGGTAATGGTATAGATCTTACTTCTGTAGAGACTGAGTACTGAAGTGTGTTTTTCCTTCGGGGGGGAGGAAGGTCCCTGCAATGGATTGATTTTTTGCACTCACCTCTCAGGATTCTGGAGACACCATCTGAAGCCTTCAGGCTTGTTCAGAAGTCTTCCAATATGGCAAGAGCAGTTTTTCTGTGGGTCAGAAACATGTTGTGGAGTCCTCCCAAGGGTTATATCAAGCTCAGTCAGAGACTGAACAAAATTATTAAAGCTGCTGTCCTTGCAGTGGATGCTGTTCTGGACTCTGTTCAGTTTAGTGCTAAGATATATTCACGAAGGCTTTCACAGCCAAGATCTGGTGGTTGTTGTGGGTTTGTTTGGAATTGCACCAGAGCACAGACAGAGTTCTGACTCCTGTCCCCTAAAGATGCCAGCCACAGAGACTGGTGAAACATTACGAAGAACAACCTTCAGAACACAGCCAAAGAGCCCAAAAAACTCACAACAACCATTAGTGCTAAGAGTTTAGTGATAAAGCACAAACTGCTGAGAAAGTCTTAACACTGACAATATCATCCCTGGGTGTTCTCAGGAGCTGTTACAGAGAAGTAGTGTTGCTTTGTGACAAGAAAGGCCACAAAAGAATTTTGTGAAGAGACAAACTAATTCACTGCCTGATGGATTTTCTTCAGGGGTGTGACCAGAAATGAACTGCTCACTGCCTAATGTCCTGCTGTGTCTGTTTTTCAGCAAACGATTCGTGAGCTGTTTGACATGCCACTTGATGAGCCAGCTAAGAAAGAAGGGGAGGCCCCAGTTGTTGTACAGGAGGAGGAAGAGGACACCTTGGCCACCAAGCAGACTCAGATTCTGGAACAGGTAAGTTTCCTTCACTCAGCTTTGTTGCTGAAGGCAGAGTGATGGCCCTCCTTTGACAAGGGATCTCGCTGACCTATGGGCCTTGGTATGTCTGGCCCACAGGCACTGTGCAAGGCAGAGGACCCAGAAGATATCCGGGCTGCAACCAAGGCCAAGGCAGAGCAAGTGGCTGAGCTAGCAGAGTTCAATGAAAACATCCCTTTGGATGTGGACGATCGACCCAGCAAGGAAGAGGAGGAGGAGATGTCAAAGGCTGAGCAAGAGATTGCTTCACTGGTAGAACAGGTAGGTGATCTTTTGGTGCAGAAGTGGAAGTCAGTGCCAGTGTTTTGTCATTATATGGTGAGTGCCTGTGAGCCTGCATTATCTAGTTCAATTTAGGTGCTGTTTCATCAAGCACTGCTTGCTCTGAATGACTGCGCTCCAAAGTGCCAAGCAGATGTTTTTCCTAGTCTAAATACCATTGATCCTTTTCGCCTGAGACATTATGTGATTTAGCACTGCTTCAACAATCTCCCTGAGCTTCTTTTTCCTCTTTGCAGCTCACACCGATAGAACGCTATGCCATGAACTTTCTGGAGGCATCTCTAGAGGACATCAGTCGGGAAGAGTTAAAGCAGGCAGAGGTAAACTTCCCACGCCTTGCTCAGGCTGTCCTACATAACATCAGGCAAGGGTGGCTGAAGGGATTTCTTGTGGGGTTTTTTTCTGGCTGTTTTTTTTTTTCTTTGAAGTTGGTCAGCTCCTCATTCTGACTCAACTATTTAAGAACAGCCGCACAGCAACTGTCTTCCAGGCTGTTGTGAGTCCCATCCTTCTGGACTTGCAACCTTTCATGGAGATGACATCCATATCCAAAAATGTGTAAACCAGGAGTTTAGGTCGGTTATAGCTTAAATGGGTATGTTCAGTAGTCAGTCCAGAAAGGAAACAGTAGAGGTTTGTTCTTTAGAGTCAGTTATAAAACATAGGGTAAGCCTTCTTTGAATGCTTGCTCAGCGGCTTCTCTGTTGTTCCCAGGAACAAGTAGAAGCTGCCCGGAAAGACATCGATCAGGCTAAGGATGAAGTGGTTTTCAAGCTGCCAGAAGATGAGGATGAGAACTATCTAATTGAAGAAGGCTCCAGCAAAAAGAGCAAAAAGGCTAAGGGACCTAACCGCTTGGCCTTGGAGAGAACCGGCACCCGTATGAGCGAAAGGCTGCGGAGCACCCGCGTCCCACCACGAGATGGAAGTAGTGGGGATGTGGAGTCCCCCCAAGCAAGGCTACCCAATCTCCGACATCCCCGGGCAGTGACTACTGAGGAGGATGACGGCCTGCCCCAAGTGGCTCAGCATACGCGAGGGGCTGCTGTGCGCAGAGAATTAGTACGAGAGGAGAAGTCTGCTCAGGTTTTCCCAAATACTCGGAGAACTGTGGCCCGCCGAGAGGAGGCGTGGACTAAATCCCCATCTGCTGGGGAGAGGGTGCAGAAAATAGCCCCACATAGAACTGAGGCGCCTTCTTCTGGTGACAGGGTTTTGAGAACTAATCCCCAAAGGACAGAGATCCCCTCTGTGGGGGATAAGTTGCCACAAGTCACTCCACAGAAGCCAGATCTGGGAGCTACTGGTGACAGAGTCATAAAAAGCAGCCCTCCTAAAACAGAAGCCCAAATTGCTAGTGATACGTTGCGGCAAAGTCCCCGGCAAGCGACAGACTCCAGTTTGGATAAGGTCCTGAGGGGAGGCCCCCAGAGGCCTGAGAAACCTTCTGCCTTGGTTAATCTCCAGTCCAGCTCAACTAGGTGTGAGGCAACAATATCGGACGCACAGGCCCTCCAGCTTCATACAGAAGTAGTTGATGGGAAAGCACTCAAAGTAAAAGCTGGTACAGTTTCACAAGAACAGGAAGAAACTCCCCAGCTCAGTTCATCGGCCCCTGAACTTCAAACTACAAATAATGCCCCAAGTGTGCAAGTACCAACCCAGGATGGACTAATGACCACAAAATTATTGGATACAGGGACGTCATCTGATGTGGGAATCCCAGCTCCAAAAGAGAAGGTGTCAAACCTTGTGCCCCTTGTTGCTACTCAGGAGCTACCATGTGAGAGCAAACCGGAGGGTGCACGTGAGGCAGGCATCGCTTTGAGTGAGCAAAAAGAGGCTCAGCCTAAGCCAGATGAAGACATGGAGATGAGTGCAGAACAAGCCTTATTGAACTCTTCAGGTTTAGCACACAGGCAAGAGGAGGTGATGCAGGAGGCAACACTCTTGGGTTGTGTTGATAAGCTGGCGAAGGGGCTTGATGCTTTTAAAAGCTCAGAGGACGTTCTTCCACAAGCAACAGATGGCACAGCATCCATGTTAGACAGTAAAAAACCCCAGACGGAGATGCTAATACTCGCTTCCCCAGAGCACTCCACGACAGCTGCTAGCTCCCTCCTTCATCTGGAAAGTCCTCCGTTTGCTAAGGAACAGAATGGTTTGGGGCAGCCTCCCAGAACTGGAGACTTGCTTTGCCCGGTTTCAGACTTGCGAGAGGAAATCTCACCTCTACAGATGGCACTGCCGACACCAGAGGCAACTAGCAGTGAAGCCAACAGCTTCAGCGAGTCACCCAAGCTCAGTCAAGGAGTGGTGGAAAAAAAGCTTCACGAGGATGATCAGCAAAACAAAGAGACCAAAACTTCAGCCATCTGCCCGGGAACTGTCGCCTTGCAGGAGAGTTCGCCAGGCTCTGTAACCTCTCCAGGAGCGCTCTTTTCAGATGAGAGCCTCTCGCCAATTAAGGCACCTCGCCGTCGGACGAGTGCTGATGTGCAGATCCGTCAGAGCTGTCAGGATCAAGATGGCCCTGCTGCCAAAGTCTTGCGCAAGCTGCCGGGGCGCCTGGTCACAGTGGTGGAAGAAAAGGAGCTGATTCGGCGGCGGCGTAACCGCATGCGCAAGCTGGATGCTGCCAACAGCGCTACAGGAGGTGCCAGCAACAGCTCAGCTCCAAGTGTGTCAGAATCAGAGACCTCCCCCTCTGGAAAAGATTTGCCGTTGTTGCGTGATTTGCCTGCCCGTCGGAGAATTGAACTGGAGAGCCGGGCAGCCGCCAAGGAAAAGGATGAGGGTTCAAGAGGGGAGGGGCTTCTGAGCCCTTCCATGGAGCCTGTCAAGCGCAAACGTGGCCGTCCCCCCAAGAACAAATCTCCTGAGCAGCCAAGTCAAGGCTTCTTTCAGCCCCTCCTTGAGCCAACCCTTGAGACCAGTCTTCAAGGCAAAGCACCTGAACCCACGTTGCCTGAGACTCAGCCCCACAGCAAGACCTCAGAGGAGAAGGCGGCGAAGACTCAGCCCCATAGTAAGACCTCACAGGATAAGGTGGTGAAGACTCAGCCCCATAGCAAGACCTCAGACGATAAGGTGGCAAAGACTCAGCCCCATAGCAAGACCTCAGACTATAAGGTGGCGAAGACTCAGCCCCATAGCAAGACCTCAGAGGGGAAGGCTTCTCAAACATCCACCCCCAAGAACAAGTCTCCCAAGACAAAAACAGAGAGCAGTGAGAATGACTCCCCTGTGGAGAAACGAAGGCGTGGCCGCCCCCCCAAGGTACGGGAGTCCCCCATCAGATCTCCTAAACCTTCTGCTTCTGAAATGCTACAAGTCTCAGCTGCAAAACCTCCAATCACAGAGCTCTCCCCAGAGGTGCAGAAGTCCCCTGCACCCGTTTCCATGGTAGAAGCGGCATCTAAGGTTGAATCGCTGGAGGTGAATCCCAAAATAACTTCTGTCTCAAAAACATCTCCAAAGGCACAGAGCCGGGCACCCACACCCCCCAAATCCAGATCAGTCTCAAAATCGACTCCTAAGGCACAAGAACTGTTGCCCATTTCCCCCAAACTGCTTTCCAAATCATCCACAGAAGCATGTGAACCTCCGTCTTCTTCCCCTAGAACGCTCTCGGGAATTGAAACTTCCCCAGAGGCGAAAGAACCGTCTTCTCCAGCCTCTGTTCCACATACATCACCCAAAGCTTTCACAACAGCAGAATCTCCACCCAAACGGAAGAGGGGTCGTCCCCCAAAGAACTCCCCTTCTCCATATCTAGAGGCAGCAGCACCTCCTGCCTCAGCCTCTGAGCAGGAAAGCACCCTGGAAAAGAAGGCCCCGGTTCCTCCGGTCCGCAAGAGGAGGCGGCGAAGGAGAAAGGATGAACTTGGGCCATCGTTGCCTGGTGTCAACCAGAGTTCATCAGAGGGCGAGGATACCCGCCCTCTCACCAGACTAGCCCTGCTGAAGCGTGAAGAAAAGGTGGACTCCTGTACAGAGGGATTAACTCAGGCCTCCCCAAAAGATGTGCTTGCAGAGGGTCTCTCCTCAGCGGAAAGTAGTACTTGGGAACAGCAGTCCAGCGACACCCCGACGCGCTCTACCCGTCTGCGGCCTGGCAGCCTCGTCCCACCCCTAGAGTGGGAGAGCCAGCGGCGGAAGCGGCGCTGCTCCTTGGAAGGCAGCCAAGTGAGCAACAGCAGCAAGTCCCCTGCTCCCCAGGCCAGCTTGGAGCAGGAGGGCGGGGAGTCGGAGTCCTCCCTCAGGTCTTCCTCAGAGTCGAACAGTAGCAAGGGGACCCAACAGCCCAAGCGCCAATGCTGTGAATCAGAGGGACGTGGCAGAGGGAGGGGGAGGAGGCATCACAACCCGACCAACGTGGCCGATCGCATCCTTCGTAGTGCTGCTAAACCTGCCGACAACACTCGCTCGGCTTCCTCCCCGGCCCCCACCAGGAAGGCAGGCCCAGCTTCTGCTTCCACTTCGGCCGGGGGAGTCGCTGGCCTGCCCTCTCCCTCAACTGCCGCCTCCCCGGCTGCCACAGTTACCTCTTCACTAAGTAACAGAGGCCGCAAACCCAAGACGTGATGACCACACCCCGACAAGTTCTGCGGTCGCTGCTCTGCAGGGAAGAGCCCGGAGTTGTCTCTTCCCTGTACGTAACCATAAAGCAGATTTAGTCCCCTCCTCCCCTCGCTCTTATTCCAGCTGTTAACATGGGGGGGGCAGCTGATGGGACTCGGCTATCCCCCACTCAGCTCCCTGCATTCCAGACTTGACATAGAGTCTACTTGAAAGGAGTCCAGCCGTGGCAGCAGGCATGATGGCCCATTCCCAGGTGCTCTCCCTCCGAGGGTGTGGCAAGGCCTGCTCCAGCTAAATATTGGCAGTTCCAGGCCTGTCACTCTGCTGCTCCATCACTGGGGGAAGTGATTGGGCCGGTACTTTTCTCAATGAATTCTGCTACTTCCTGATCATGGAGCAGAGCGCAGGGGAATGGCAGTTTTTGTATTGCCATAGTCCTACCCGTTAACGTAACAGTTCTGTCATCCCTGAATGCCGCACCACTTCACCGCCATTTTGTGATGCCTCAGTCCTAGTGTTCATCGAGCGCTTTTGTCCTTTTTTTAAAAAATTCACATCTTGGGGCTCTGGTGTCTCTACTTTCTTTTATCTGTTCCCACTGCCCCTAGATCTGCAGTGGATACTCTTCTGATTTATATCACAATTAGCTCTTACTTTTTTAATGGTTTTGGGTTGGTTTTTAAATGACAGTGACCAAATAACTGGGTCCTTTCCTGCGCTCTCCCTTTTGATTGTCTCTTTGCTTATTCTTTTAACTAGCTTAGGGCCCGCTTGAGGTGCAAGGAGGTCAAAAAAACTGACCCCCTCAAAATGGGGGTGCATGGCCCACCCCAAGAAGGCCATGCGCTCCCTTTTGCAGCACCACCAGAAACTGTCTAATTTTTAATGATGTACATTGCAGCCTCACTGCTCCAAGGACTCTCTGTGGGCTCCAGTTGGGTCAGATCCCTCTCCCCTCCCTTTTCTCTCTGTGTACAGCTCTCATTGTAAAATAGGTTCTTTTGAACATAATCTATGCAAAGGTTATTTTGTATAGGGGAGCACAATGTTCCCTCCCCTCCCCCACCGCTGTGGGATTTGGGGGTGGCAGTGGTTCTCTGGTTTTTGGGGAGGGATGCAGTTGGGGTGGAGGGGGAGGTGTTCCCACGGAGCTGTCTTTCCTACTGAAGCATGTTCAGAACTTGTACAGAAGACCGATGTAATCTTTCTTCAGAATAATGCTATGAAATAAAGTGTTAAAAAACAACAAAAACAGCAAAAAAAACACAACAGCACACCATATGGGCCTGTAGAGTCATCATTGATAGTTAAACCACGTATGTTCTCATTCCCATTAGATGAACTTTTTGGTCTCGCATAACACCAGCCACGGCTTGGCATTACATACGTGAGCCTTGGGAGTCCGGCTGCCTCTTCTCATTCTCGAATTCGCCTGGCTGCTTTGCATTTGCTTCTGTGCATAGTTGGCCCTGACCTCCCACCTGGTGGCCAGCGTTTGTTCAGCAGTGTTGCATAGAAAATCATTAAAGTTCAAACTTGTGGCCTGTTCCTGACCTTCTAAACTAAAGTTTGGAAGGCTCAGAACTTCATGATTGGTTTGGACCCTTGAGAAGAGGCTGTTGGATACCACACCTGGTTTACATCTTAATCTGGGAAAGTTTTCTCAAGGGTTTGTCTTCAGAGAGGGGCAAGGAACTATTCCCACTGCTATTCTACACTCTTCTGGTTTGTAAATCAAGCGGACTATGTCTGATGTACATGGTTTATGTGTTGCGTTGAATTTGGAGGGGTTGTCTCCTCCATTGTTGATTTTATTCTCTGAGGAACGGAAGATGCCCATCTGCCCTCATTTCAGAATACTCAGCTAATGCAAGAAAGTTTCTTGGTTTACCCTTCTTCCACTGCAGGCTCATTGCTGTTAGCAGATCACCAAATGGTGGACCACTATTTTGAGCAGTAGGGCAACCCGGTCAGTCCAGTGGGCATCACAAATGGTTTTGGGTCACAGGAGCTTTTGGGTGTGCGGGAGTCTACTTACCCTTAGTAGAAGCTTCTTGGTCCCTTCATGTTAAAAAGTGAAAGAAGAAGGTCCGTACGTGGCATTAATCTACTGGAGAATTGAGTTGAGCACAGACTCCCATTTGTATATACAGTGGTGCCTCGCATACTTCTTTGAGGGTACGGCTCAGTCAAGTCATGATATCAAAAGCCTGTCACCTTGGAATTGTGCTGTCCAGTAGGCCAAAAAAAATCTCCCGCAATGCCTTAAAAATACCAAGAGGAAGTTACAAATAACAATTTGACTCATGTTTTTGCTGTGAGCTTTGCCAGGTGTTTCTGCTACCACTAAGTACAGGAATGTGGGCAGACCAGTTTCCCAACTGATTGTTGTCGTTGAGAGCCTTTTAATTCCTCTCTGCTGTAGCAGTTGTGCACCTTTATTTGGACTTTTCTGGGCTAAGGGTGGTTTCCTGTTGAATCTCTGGTGGGCATTCCTTCTGTTCCTACTGGTCACTGCTCAATTCTGAAATACACAAAGCATCAGGAAGGTTGTCTAATAGTGCTTCATTTTTAACATTGTGAAACTGCCTGGCCTAAAAATCTATATTACAGGGGTTTAAGAACAGTGAAGAGGCTAATCCTGTCAGGCTCCTGTGAGCCTTGGTCTTGCAAATAAAGCCACAAAGTAAAATATACATGCACTGAACTTGCATGAGGTTACCCATAGCATACAAATTGAGGACTGCTTAGAACAGTGGTTCTTAACCTTGGGTTGTTCAGGTGTTTTTGAACTACAACTCCCAAAAACCCCAGCCAGCACAGCTGGTGGTGAAGGCTTCTGGGAGTTGCAGTCCAAAAACACCTGAGTAACCCAAGGTTAAGAACCACTGGCTTAGAACATGAGGATATCATTGCTTCTAGCCTAAATGTGTGATACGTACACAAGTTTTATTTTAGAAGCAGCTCCTTCATTTTGTAAAAAAGCTGATTGTAGCAATCTCCAAGTGTGGCCAAATAATAGTGGGAGAAGCCTGCCCTGTTATAAAAGCTAGAAGTCAAGGAAATCGGGGGTCCAATCCACTTCACCCCACTCCTGTGTCCTTCTCAAGCCTTTCCTGGACTGAAGCTACCAGCCAGAAGTTGTGGTTTGTGACATTCCTCACCTTCCCGTTAATTGCCACCTTCAGAGCCAGCAATTTATAACTCCTCCCTGACTTTCTGTGCTATGCCGTCTCAACATTTTAGCTTATCAACACATTTAATTGGCAACTCCACAATGTAAATTGTGGGAACGAGAGTATGAGCTCATGCTGAACGGCAGGAGCAGCCTACATACCTTTGGAGCTACTGTGACTTCATCCGGTGAAACCCAACCCAAAGAGAAAAAAAAAGCCAAGTTCTCGGGTCAGGTGTGTAGGCAGAGATAAAACAGAAATCAAAACTAAAGATTCTGAGGGACAGGAGAGAAGCTACGGAGGTTTTTCCACTGGAGTTGAGCTTAATGAAGAGTCCAGGGAACTGAGATTTGACCACACACGCTCTCAAACACAATATTGCCCTCACTTCCAACGATACTCATTTTCGCTATGCCTTTTTTTGCTTTTGTAACCATCTCGTGAGGCAACAGCACTGCTACTTGATTCTTTTACTCAGAGGAGACCGAGGCAGAGAAAGGTGGCTTTCTCATACAGAAAATTTATGAAACTTTTGAACCCTGATTAGATTCACACCTGGCTTCTGGCTTTGAATCTAGAAAAACATTAATGTGGACTAGAAATTTTGCTGTTATTGTCTCCTGAATCATAAACTAAGAGAATGGAGTGGAAAAGATAGACCCTTAATCGTCTTCAGCAACTTTATGCCGTGCTTGTCATGGGAGAAGAGATGGAACTTCGAATCGGGAGCCCTCCTCGTGATGGAGAGACTGCCGTCATGATCAGCACAGACATGTCGAGGACAGATCCCCCTGCCAAGCAGCCTCCTTTGAAGATGCACAGGTTCCGCAACCTTGCCATCGCCAGCATCATCTGTGGCTGTTCTTGCATTGGAGTCTTAGCGCTGATTTATGCAGTCAAGGTGAGATGTACCTTGCTATCATTGGGTGGCTGAAATAGGTGGGAGGGATGATAAGATACATAGAGGATCTCATATCTCTGCTTTCCTTCTTCCAACCCCAAATAGATCAGAATAGATCAGACCAGGTGAGCGCAGAAGCGTTTTTTATAATTTTCAAACAATAATCCCAAGTGTCATCTGATTTACAAGCATTTGTATTGGAGCCAAAAGACCATGTTTAGAATATTGCTCCAGATAATTTCAGCTCTTCTGCTGTTCTCTTTTTCCTGCATTTTAGTCTACCAGAGGACCAGAGAGAAAGTGAGTGTGTGCATGTGTTACACGTGCTAAATAAACCCAGACAAATATGCTTTTTAGGTGTGTTGCATACCTTCTCAGTGGCAGACGGGGAATGCAAAGATACCTTGTGACTTTCCCCGCTACAGCTGGTAGCTAAATTACACACTGATTGTTCTCTTCATTTTATAGGGATAGCTATACAGGCAATCACTTTGCTCAGCAGGAACCAGTACAGAGTTTCTGTGGGACTTTAAGGAATAGAATTCAGTTTTATCAAATCATTAAAACACACAGTTGAAATACAGTAGTAAGACACAACTGGAGTAAACTCCTTGAATAAATGGAACTTCTGGCAGAGTACACTCACAAAATCCCCACTGATTCAATGGGCCTACTCTTATGTGCCATCAAGTTGGAACAGCATTATAGTGACTCTTGTAGGGCTTTCATAGTGACATATTTAAGACATTTTACTAGTTCTTTTGCCCCAGTAGCTGAACTGGAATTTGGATCCAGGCCTCTTGAGTCCTGGTACATCATTCTATCCACTACATTACACCTGATATCTATCAGCTGCAGTGGTTGTCAACCTTAACACAAGTGTTATTGGACTGCAACTCCTAGAAATCGTGGCCGTCACAGCTAGTGGCAAAGGCTTCTGAAAGTTTCAGTCCAAGAACACTTGGGTTTCCCAAAATTGGCAACCACTGGCCTACTCTATACAATACATTGGCTGAAACCCAATAGTAAGTCGCAACTGCAATAGGGCCATTAAATCAGTGGGAATATGGTGAATCATCTCTATATGTTCCATTGATTCAGTGGGCTTGCTCTCTCTCTCTCGATTCCTGGACATTGCTGTTGTAACCATAACTTTAATCCACATGTATCTGTGAATTTTAAAAGGAGGGCCATATCTTTAAAATTGTGACAGAATTGTCATGCCACAAACTTGTGGGGAATATTTTATTAAATTATGATACTACACAATAACAGTCATGTTATGATCCCTGTGGCTATAGAAAAAATGTTGGAAAGATGCTAGGGGTGGAAGTGAGGATGGAGGTCTGTGGAAATCTATCAGGGGTTCCTTGGCACAAAAGAGCAGTGATGAGAGACAAGAGACCCTATAAAACTGGGCACCACCATGAACAGGATTTCCTCTGTTATGGGCCACTGCAGGGCTATTGGGGGGGTGTTCTGTGAAAATATGGGGCACCAGCACAACTATCTTCCTGTACAAGTAGAGCCTCAAAGAGGGCCCACCATCCCCTCGAAAGTACAAGGTTTTCCTAGCAGATGCCAACAGCAAAAGACCTTTGAGAGTAAGAGCTTTGAAAAAGGCTGCTTTTAGACATTCACAACCTGCCCCCAGTGCCAGATTTATACACAAGCTAAACATGCTTGTGTATAAGCGTGTTTAGCTTATACATTGGACGTGGTGGCGCTGCAGGTTAAACCGCAGAAGCCTCTGGGCTGCAAGGTCACAAGACCAGCAGTCGTAAGATCGAATCCATGCAACGGACTGAGACTCCGTCGTTCGTCCCAGCTCCCGCTAACCCAACAGTTCAAAAGCATGCAAAATGCGAGTAGATAAATAGGTACCACAACGGTCGGAAGGTATCGGCGTTCCGTGTCTAGTCGCGCTGGCCACGTGACCACAGAAGATTGTCTTCGTACAAACGCTAGCTCTATGGCTTGGAAAGGGGGATGAGCACCACCCCCTAGAGTCAGACACGACTGGACACGACTGCTAAATAAACCCAGACAAATATGCTTTTTAGAGTTTGTGGCTCAATATTTTGAAGTTTCACAAAGTACACTTCTGGGAGAAGCTGTGCTGAGGGGTCTCTTCGATTTAATGTATCTCTGGGTCTCAGCATCCCTTAATCCAGTGTTGCCTGCAACAAAATGCAGGAATGTTAGGTGCCTCCTGTTCAGTGTGCCAGTCCGTTGGCTCAGCCATGCTCTCTCCTCCAGCGGATACTATTCTTGGGGGGGGGGGAGAAGTATAGCCCTGCAGACTACATCCGCTGGCTCAGATCTTAGAAAGGGCTTAGAAAATGGTCTGGCGCTTTATAGGGGTGTGGGAGATGTGTTTGCTATGCTCTGGCCTTCTCTTCAGCCCTGATCTCCCATGCCCCTCCTAATGTTTTCTACACTTTAATAATAATAATTGGCCAGTAGAGAGTATGAGGATACTTTCTCAGAAAAGAAAATTAGAAAGTATTTTTGGAGGGTGGAACAACAGTTAGAGCCTTTCAAGGGACAGAGGTATGTTAGTGTGTGGCAGCTTTTGGAGCTCTAGAAGCTGCTCCATTCTGCCCTATCCCCCAGATCTCCAACCAAGCTTTATATTCCACTCACATAGTGATCCGTAAAGGGATGATTTCTGTGACATTTCACATTTTCTCTGCAGCCTACATTTGAACCCATAAGCAAGTTCAAACATAAGTAATCTGGCCTTCCTCACCAAATTACTCATAACATGGTCATACCCACCCATAAGCTCAAATAGAGGTTGCAGGAAAAATATGACATGTCATAGGAATTCTCCCTGCAAGTGATCAGTAAGCAAAGATTTTTTTTTCTATTTCTGCAAACACCAGGACTGCACCAAGCCTGTTAATGACTCTCCTGTGTGAGTTTGTCATCATTTTGGCAACAAACACACCACCAGCTATGCTTGACATTCAGAGATGGAGGTAGTCGAAACTACCTCCTGAAGATAAAGTTAAATCATGTTGATTAATCAGTAACAAGACAGCATGCTGTTCTGTAAGAACAATTCCAGAAGACAAATAACAAGGATTCCACTTAGTAATGCTAGTTATGTGAAGAACTGGTAGAAGGGCTTGTGATTTATACAAGATAATTTTCGTATTTCCCTAATTGACATTAAACTCCATTTTTTTCTTATTTTCAAGTAAAATAACAAAGAAAGAGAAACGTTTGTATTGATGAATTATAAAACCAAGAGCTACAAAGCGTCACCAACCCACCCGTCTGGAGAGGCTTTGGGTGTAATGAAGGTGTCCTGCTAACTGCTCTCCACCTCAAAAAGGAACTGCTGGGGGCAGTTCATGGCTGAGCCCCCCACAATGTTAATATCCATGGGGAAAAATGGCTGCTACAAAGCCCCACAATGTTGGGTGGTGTGTTCTCTCCACTGAGAGGGACCCAGCATGGATCTCCCACCTGAAGCAAGAGGGGAACAATTAAGAAAGCCCAACCTTACTCTGTCAGGAAAATAAATAATACCACCCTGCATTGCACGTGCTTGTTTCTTTCTTCACTCAGGATTGCTCTGCGTATCTTTGCTGACCTTTTGCTTCAGGGAAAGCATTATCCTTCATGGGACAGTAAAGAAATGCAGACTATTGGACACATTGAGAGAAAGAGTAGACCCATTCTGGGGGTGATGCTACGTAATGTAAACAGCTTACTACGTGTTAGAAAAGTGAGATGCCAAGAGAAAGAACCTGAAATGCTAGTATTAAAAACCAATGATATCTAGCAACTGTGTTTTCTAACTCTTTTTCTTGTCGTTTTCTCTAAATTAGGCTAAAGAGAAGCAAAAAAACGATTCTCAGGACTCAGCAGTCTACTGGGCCCGGAGGTCTCGGTGTATGTCTTTCCTAAGCATTGGTGTCTGGCTGTGCTTTCTCATTCTGGTGCCCCTGTCCATCATCTTGCTTTCTTACATTTTATCGCAAGCTGAATGATGAGCTCTGGAAACATGTGGCTCTCGGCTTTCAAGATCACCTGTTCTGGGTTTCCTCCCTGCTGGATTTATTATCCTGCATGGTCCTTAAGCAGTTTGCAAGTTGCCTCCTGCTATCCAGGATTTCTAACTGGAGCCATTGTTGATGAAAAGACAGACTGCAGAAATGATGTTATTTCCTTCCATGTACAGAAGCTCCAGTTCCGCCTCATTGACAAAGTATGGTTTGTTCCATCTAAGATTTTTATCGGGCTTCCAGATGCTGTAATCTTTTGGAACCACGGGATACTAAAGAACAGAAACACCAGCCTGGGTGGATAATTTCCCTTCTGTGTCGTTTTTCTCTCATCAAAAGTTGAAGAGTTGATTCCACAAATTTTGGTGGTTTATTTTTTTTCTTCACTCTTCAGCCTCCTTTTCATTGCATGGGCAGGCAAAAGGCCAGATTTGATATTGAGACCTGCGCTCATCTGCTGTAATGAAAGTACTGTCCACCTCACGAAATTGTTGTGAGAACAAATTAAATACGAATTCTACATGGACTCAAAATATCAAAGTGACGCACTGGAAGATAATAATCCGTGAACACCGTGTGTTGAGGTTTATTCTGTTATCTTTATTATTATCTGCAATGCACTTATTGTCCATATCGTTTTTTTACAGGATGCCTGACTGAAATAAATGTTATATTGTCAGGATGTAAATTCCTTCAAAATGGACTAACTAAAATGCAAAAGCTTCCACAGTGTTGATAACTTTATTTTGTGGCCTACAGGAATAAGGACCATCTGATTATATTTGTACAACAAAGATACAAAACCAAGAGCAAAGAGTCTCTGGATACCTTATAACTATTACTTTTATTTTGGCATTGTCTTTTATGGATAAAAGTCCTTCTGTTACATTTTGTTTGATCAACAGTTGGATAAAACCTGGCTTTTTTTGGGGGGCTTCTGTATTATTGTGTGCATTGTGTGTAACAGTGCAGGTCAGACACACATTTGGTGCCAAAAATATTACCTGGGCAATTATAGCTTAAACATGATCTGAAAACAGAGGTGGGATTCAGCAGGTTCGCACCTATTCTATAGAACCGATTCCTAAATGTACTATTGGTTCTTAGAACCGTTTGCTGGCCTGAGATGAATGAAGGAGGAGGGGCCAGGTGACCAGCGACGAGCGGGGGGAGGGGGGCGCAATTAGCTGCCTCCCTTCCTGCGCCACACAGAGCCGTCTGAGGTGGGGTGTGGGTGAGAGAGATAAAGCCCTGGAAAGAGCAGAGGCATCAATGGGGGAAAGGGGGGGAGGATGAGTCCTTGACGTCACTGGAGGAAAGCTCATGGCCTCGAGGCGGGGGGGTGATTGACAAGGCAGTTACATCTCTTGTTAGCCACAAATTGGATATGATCGCAAGAATTTTTCAGTTGCTTCAGTCCCAAAATGGCTCAATATCCTGACTGTAATCCAGTCATAAAAACTGTTTATTTATTTATTTGTTTTTTGTTTGTTTATTTATTTGATTTATACCCCGCCCATCTGGCCTGTAAGACCACTCTAAGCGGCTGTTTATGCCCATTTGGCCTCTTCCAGTAGAAAGGCATCTCAGGGGCACATCATTTGCTAGGCCACAGTTCCTTTTAGATGGATATACTCTTTTGGCAGTATTCATACTTATTTACAAATAGATTCAACATAGATGTGGAGGTGCTACTTAAACACTTCAACAGACAGACTGGTGTAAATCTACAAGACTGTAGTTAAACTGTTGTAAATCCATAGAACATCTATGAAGAAGTCACCTCCTGTATGATGCAAACATTAGGCTCCTGTGCGGAAATACATTCTCTGTATGTTGGGTAACTAAGGAAATAGGAAGGATGCAAGATGCAACACACATAAGCTGAATGACTTCTTTAGGCGCCAGAGAAGCAGCTCCTTCTAGAAAAAAGTATATTCGAAACCTAGTTCCAACAGTCTTTTCCTGGCCAATGTACATCAAAGGATAGTAGAATCTGGCAGGGGAGGGGAAGAAAAGAAAGATTCTGTGTGGTAATAGTGACTAAAGACTGAAAGACAGTAATGTTAGAAATGTTGTTGTGTGCCATCATGCTGCACCTGACTTATTGCAATCTGAGGAATTAATCATTTCTAAAAGGTCTTGACATTAACAATTCTACTCAGGCCTTGCAATCTAAAGGGAGCTGGGCAGACCTGGGTTCGAATTCTTCCTCAACAGTGGAACTCAGTGGAAGATTTGGGGGCAGTCACAGTTTCTTTCAGCTTTGACATAAGTCAAGGGTAGCTATGAGGGTAAAAAAAGAGACCATAGGAGAATATCCCCTTGGAAGAAAGGTACAGTAACTGTTGATAACGTATATATTTATAATAGCAAGAATCTTATCCCATGTTGTTGTTGTTTAGTCGTTAAGTCGTGTCCGACTCTTCATAACCCCATGGACCAGAGCATGCCAGGCCTTCCTGTCTTCCACTGCCTCCTGAAGTTGGATCAAATTCATGTTGGTAGCTTTGATGACACTGTCCATCCATCTCGTCCTCTGCCATCCCCTTCTCCTCTTGCCTTCACTCTTTCCCAACATCAGGGTCTTTTCCAGGGAGATTTCTCTTCTCATGAGATGGCCAAAGGATCGGAGCCTCAGCTTCAGGATCTCTCCTTCTAGTGAGCACTCAGGGTTGATTTCCTTCAGAACGGATAGGTTTGTTCTCCTTGCAGTCAAGGGGACTCTCAAGAGTCTCCTCCAGCACCACAATTCCAAAGCATAAATTCTTCAGTGGTCAGCCTTCTTTATGATCCAACTCTCACTTCCATACGTCGCTACTGGAAAAACCATAGCTTTGACTATGGAGACCTTTGTTGACAAGGTGATGTCTCCGCTTTTTAAGATGCTGTCTAGGTTTGTACTTTCCTTCCAAGAAGCAGCTGTCCTTTAATTTCATGGCTGCTGTCACCATCTGCAGTGATCATGGAGCCAAGAAAGTAAAATCTGTCACTGCCTCCATATCTTCCCCTTCTAGTTGTTCCATATCCAGTTTTAACTCTTGTTTCCTGTCCCACATATAGATTTCTCAGGAGATAGATAAGGTACTCCCATTTCTTTAAGAACTTGCCATAGTTTGCTGTGGTCCACACAGTCAAAGGCTTTTGCGTAGTCAATGAAGCAGAAGTAGATGTTTTTCTGGAACTCTCTGGCTTTCTCCATAATCCAGCGCATGTTAGCAATTTGGTTGCTCTGTTCCTCTGCCCCTTTGAAATTCAACTTGTACTTCTGGGAGTTCTCGGTCATATACTGCTGAAGCCTACCTTGTAGAATTTTGAGCATAACCTTGCTAGCGTGTGAAATGAGTGCAACCGTATGGTAGTTGGAGCATTCTTTGGCACT